TAATTTAAAATATTATCTTTTTAATCCGTTTCCCTTTTTTTTTTTTTTTTTTTTTTTTTTTTTTTTTTGATTTTTTAATTATTCCTTCTCATTTTTAGTTTTCTAATCGAATTTGTAGTACACGGTTTCTCGAAACAAAAATTGTACATCGATTTATTCGAATGTTATTTGAGAAAAAACACGTATAATTATTATATAATAGAAGAAGAAGAAGAAGAATAAGAAGAATAAGAATAAGAAGAATAAGAAGAATAAGAAGAAGTATATTATAGTAATAGTAGTAGAGAGAGTCTCTAACTCCCACTCATGTGCAATCACTAACATTAAAAAGTTTGGCCAAGTATATAAGCTGAAAAGAAACTTCAAAAAAGACACCAAAATATTTGAGATAAGATTGGAACAGGCTTTCGCAAAAATTACAACGCGTCTAACGATATAATATACATATATGTATATATGTATGTATATATATATATATATATATATATATATATGTATATGTTTATGTATATATCTATCTCGGATGTCGTCTCATGGAAACCCGTAAATGGCTACGTTCGAGAACGAACATGGTCAAAATGAAAACATTATTTTTCCCAAATTCAAATTATTATCATTTTTATTTTCTTCTTTTTTTTCTTCTCTAAAATTTGTAAACACCTTTTGACCATCCTCGTCGACGTTTTGTTTTACATTTAAAAAGTAGTAATAATATATCCCATACGGGGAAGGATGACAATATTTTTTACTGCGATTCCATTTAGCATTCAAAGAGACTATTAATTAAGTTAATGGGAAAATACAAAAATAAAAAAAAAAAAAAAAGAAATAAAATAACAAAATGGGGAGAAAGGATAAAGTGTATTGTATAGGTGATATAATTCGAGAACCAATCTGTCAAACGGTTTAAAGATTGTGTTATTTGTGGGAAGTTAAAAAATAAAAAAAAAAAATAAATAAAAGAAAAGTATAGACAAAAAAAAGGAATAATGAAAAATGGTGAATGGGAGGGAATATATTCGCGGAAAAGGTAGCCGAGCGACAAATTGTAGCTTATTTGTATATTTCGATCGAATGAATGTAAGTAAGTAAGGAAGGAAATAGGGAGAACTACCTTTTCAGAGATATTTCCCATAAGATTGATCGTCTCTGAGTTAGAAGCGCAACGTTATGATCACACGTAGAGAAAAAGAGATACGAAAGAAGCAAAAGTATATATATATATATATACATATATATAAATATATATATATATATGTATGTATGTAGGTATAGCTAAATGTATATACAATATACATATATACATAATATACATATATACACACACAGAAATATACAGGGGGAAGGCAAAAGTCGCGTGTCATTAAAGTATCGTTGTAATATCTAATTAAATAACGTGTAATTAATTTTCCATTAAACGTGTCTAAAACATAAAGAAATATTATATGTTTTATATAAAAACGTAACACGATTTTTGCTTCAACCTTTATACGGAATATATATATATATACACTACCGATTCCAAAGTTTGTATAGATGATGGTCAATTAAAAAATGATTCATTTATATTTAATCATATAAAAATGTTAAAAACAATTCTCTAACGATATAGATTATTTCCATAAAAGATATATATATAATACTCGCGAATCAAAATAAAAATTGAATCGTATATAAAGTATCCTATAAAAAAAGAAATAATGATATTACTTACAAATATAATACTTTAATGAATTTGAATTAACGATAAAAAAAATCATACGTTAAAGAGAGACACGTTTAAAGATAATTAAAAAAGAAAATATTCGAAAAACGAATAACCAATAGAAATATATTATATATAAATAAATGTATTACACACCCCAAACTTTGGAGATCTCGGTAATGTAAATATATTTATATTTATATATGTATAATATATATATATATATACGTAAGACGATTAAATTGACGAAGCATTATTATTGGCTGTGGCATAACGCACGCACGCGTAAAATAGGGCGAGGTCCTTACCCTTGGGAGGATTCGCTACAGACGGAAGAATCTGGTCTGTAATGACGATCCCCTTCGCTTTCTGACATTCTGATTTCTTCGGAACCACTTGGACTCATGTGCCGAACAGAATGACGTTCCAATTGTTTGATGATGTCCTCGAGAGTACGAATGCGTATCGTACTGCATGGTTCTAATCCAACATCTATATCCTCGTCGTCCTGGTTGTCCATGTTGTTCATGTGATCGTCTATATCCTTGGAATAAGGATCAGGATAACCGCACTCCAACAATGATTTACGTATTGCCTCGTTGTCAAGTAGGTTACCACTACCGGATGCTGTCTCGGATGGATCACGACGAATCCCAGCTTTTCTCAATACCTCCAATATATTCTCGTGATAACCATTCAATTGATTCAAAGTTTGCTGCACTTCGGATATACCTGCTCTATCTATTATCAAACAAACAAACAAACAAACAAACGAAACAATTAAACGATTTAACGTTAGACGAATTAAAAGAATATGATATTTGTCAGGATTTATATATATATTGTAGTTTGTTCATGAAAGAGTTAGACGTGAATAATTCGATATAATGATTTCTTTTTTTTTTTTTTTGGTATTTTTTTGTTCTTCTGCTGACCCCATTCTCAAACGTTCAACTTTTACGATTTTTGTCCTCGTCTTTTTCATGTTATTCTCTATTTTTATTTGACTTGAATTATTTAACAGTTGTGATCTCTTTGACACATGATATTTTTCTTAGTTTTGTTAACGAATTACACGAAAGATTTTCTTTTATCATCATTCGAGATTTGTTTATTATTATTTTAATTTGATATATATATAAGACGAGCAAAGGATTCGTGAAGGTTCAGTTCGAGGATGTTTTTCCGTTCGAAATTCTCACGCCAAGCCTTTCATTATATTATGAGTCATTTAAACCGCGTTGATTTGTTTAATTTTCTTTCTTTTTTATGGTTTTTTTTTGTTGTTTTTTTTTTTTTTTTTACAATTATCAGGCATTACAATACCATAACCGTGTTTCTTTAAAATTCCCTTCTCAGGCAACTTTGTCAGATTGTTTGGTGAGACAGCAATGAAAGAGACAACCTCATCTCCTCCCGTACCTCCTTCTTCCTCGTCGACGTCACGCCTCTTCATCTGCGGTTTTTGCTCCCTGAAAATATTCCAAAATATAATATTTTGTTTTTTATTTCAACCAATTATCACATAAAACAATAAAAATAAAGATATAAATAGATAGACAGATAGTAAGTAAATAAATAAATAATTAACGAAACTTATTCGTTGATTTCAAACCCTTAGGAGGAAGGGGGAAAGGTTGTGGGGGGGGTGGGCATTCGCAAATGGGTCGTCAATGTGTCGTCGACAAATAACTATGCATGTATATACTTTTTGCTGACGATGAAAAGAAGAAGAAGAAGAAGAAGAAGAAGAAGAAGAAGAAGAAGAAGAAGAAGAAGAAGAATATTATTATGAAGCATGTGTATGTGCCATGTATATGTGTAGGATAGTCAGCAAAATATGCGTATGTGTGTACGTCTATTATATGTTCATCGATTCGATCGATTAGCACACTTTTTACGTGTATACTTGTGTATATAATAGCATGTAACGTATCTAACATAGTATAGATATAAAAGTATACGTAATTTTGAAAATAATATAACGAAAATTTAAATAAAATAATATATTTTTACAGTGTGAATTTCGATTGATAATTACTAGGATGAATTTAACGTTAGTAGTAGATCTTTGTAAATGTTTAACAGTATGAAAAGGTATATATGTATGTATTGTCATTATTTTTTCTAATCGAAATTTTATCTCAAATTTTCGTATATTTTAATTGTTTTAGAATTAAATAGAAATGTATCTTACTGCATTACGTATCGTAATTACAACAAGCAGATATTGCAATTGTTTTAAATTTACAGTAATTGTCATTCTACACACGTACATGTTTTAAATACGTTTTGGTAATTTGAAATATCATCAGCAGCAGCAGCAGCAGCAGCATATTGCAAATTCCTCGCATGCATGCACGTGTTCAAGTTCTTGTTTTTGCATAATTTTTCGTGTTTTAATATCGACGAGAAAGCTATTTCGATCCTCCTCCCATTAGTATATTTCGAATGACCTTCTGGTGTTAAGCCAAGTTGGACATTAGATGGACTTTGATCGTTTTACCGTTTGATCATTGCCAATCTGTATTTCCGATAATGCGTGCATTCTAATTCTACGTGAACTGTTTGCGTATCAATATGTCATGGTATCTCGATATCAATATCAAACACTCGCGTGACTGATGTGGTTTACGTATAACATATATATATATATATATATATGTAATGATGCAGATATATATCTGTGTGTATGTGTGTGTAGAACGATTTATGTATTAATTTATATTATGACTTGCATATTCGTTTTTTTTCACCCAAAGGATAAATGCAATATTATTTCCGTGAACTAAAAAGATCAAAATCTTTGTATGAATAATGATTGTTTTATGAACCGTGCTTAATGGTAAAGGAAACACACGATGGTAAACTCTTAACAATTCACTATTGCATTCGTTTCTAACGATCCATGCAAATTTCACATTTATATGTTAGATTGATGATAGATGATAGACCAGATGAAAGCTTGCTTCGTTCTAAAAGCATGCAATGCGACAAGTATGTAGTACCGATGTTCTATAATAATATAGTTTGCTTTTGCAAACGTTAAGTGCTTGTCTGTCTGTCTGTCTGTTTGTTCTGTACCATATACATATATGCACGTATGCATGTATGTGTAGTCTATTTTCCGCGTTCTACGTTATTTGAAGATTTTGTCTTCGTTAGAAATGAACGTAGAAAACGATAGAGAGCTTGATAGGAACAATGATATTATTGTTAACATTTCGAACGAATTATTTAACTACAACAATTATCTATAGAAATACTCGAAGGTTGGGTAACGTTAATTAAGATTGAAAGTACGATTAAAAGTATAACTATTGTCTTGTACGATAAAGATATATATATATATTATTGTGTATTTTGCAATAACTATTTAAGTATATATCTCTATATTAATCGCGTTAAATAATATCGCTTTCTTGTTTAGTCAAACGTAACCGAACAAATTGATTAAAGTAGTTTCCCCCGTTGTATTTTTTTTTATTTGATTTGATATTTGTTTTCCTTCTATATTAGTTGTTTTTCCTTTCTTCTTTTTCATTTGAATTTCCTTCTTTTTTTCCTATCATATCGAAAACGTATTTTTCCTCTCGTGCACAGGGTATTATTAAAAAACGATGCTACTATACCATTCGACAAACAGACCAGACAATATGGTCGATTTATGATAGAACAAGATCAATAGAAAGAGAAGAGAAGTCGGGCTGTGGGGAGGGGGGTTGTGTGGATGAGGGTGGTCGTTATAAAATAGTAACTGCGTTTTCAAACGCATAAGCACAAACGAAATGAAAAACATTTGACGAATGTTTTGCTCCCGCCCCCCAGCCACCTCGCGAATCTGAGAACCATTCCTAATGAAATTGTCTTCGATCATGTATTCTATCTCGTATTTTATGCGTTCGTATAATATTCAAATGATTAATATTATATAATTGCAATCTCTGGTCTGCTTCGTTGGCACGTTTGTGCATAAAAATTGAAACAGAAATGAAAAACGGAATAGGACAGAGAAAAAGAGAAATAGAAAGAGAGTTGAAAGTGAAAGAAATAGAAGAAGAAAAAAAAAAGGTATAAACACATAATCTTCGTTTAGTGATAATAATATTAACAGATTTAAAGTGACATTATGACACGAACGACGAGTGACACACGAGACTTACTTGAGTCTTGACCCGTCTGCAGCGGCGACGTTATTCGAGGGCCGAAACAGCACGCGTTGGGGATCACTGTGGCTAGAAATATACTAATATAGGACATGCCAACGCAAACATTATACCCTATTTTATTTTATTTGAATTTTATTTTATTTTAATTTCATTTTCATTTCTATTCTCTTTCAATCTTTTCTAATTCTTTTTCTTAGGAATATATCTTTTTTCGAACAATTTTTGTTCAATCCTTAATCTCTCATTGTGTGGTTTAGCGAGAAAGGAAATGATTAGACAGAGGAGGAGGAGGAGGAGGTGGAGGGTAGGGGGATAGATTTCTCGTCGTAATATTAATTGTTACAAATATTACTTGGGCCGAAAAGTTATGCGAAAAAATTACGATGTAATTTCTCATGGCCGATAATTTATCTTGTTAACAAAATATAATAAGAAGAAAATATTCAAACATATCTATATATTTATATATATATATATATTTTGAAGAAAAAGCAAATCTTTTAGGAATCGGATTTACGTTAAGCAACGAAATGATTTTCGTACCTGTATTGTGGAAACCTTCCAAAAGTGAGGATCTTGTTAACGTTGTCGAGTGCAGCTTCTTCTGGATGATGGTTGCTCGAAACCCCGGTGTAATTTTTCGGCGGTGGCTTTTTCGAGTACGGTTGATCATACTTCTGGACGGTGCTCTTTCTTCTGCGATAAATTTCACGATTACAAGAGTGCCTAATTAACAATTGGACGGGGTAATCATAGCCGAGAGAAACAAACCAAATCTTTCAAAAGATAGATAGATAGATAGATAGATAGATAGATAGACAGATAGATAGAGAAAGAGAGAAAGAGAGAGAAATGGACAGAGAGAGAGAGAGAGAGAGGGGGGGAAAGCTCATGCAAATGCTACAAAGGGGAGGAAATGGAAACGTTCCTTTTTTGTTTTCATTTATTTTCAATATTTTTCTTTCTTGTGTTTTTCTATTTTCTCTTTTTTTTCAATTGTCGCGCATTAAACGTCAAATTTATTTCTTTTTTTCTTTTTTTTTTCTGAGGCAAATCAGAAAGGAATCATCATCATCTTAAGTATACACGTGGCCTACTCGCCAAACAAACAAAGAAACGAACGAACACACGATATCTTCGAATTTCTATCAATAAAAATTGATCAATTTTATATATATATATATATATATATATATATATATAATTCAAATTATATGCATACATATAATGAGAATTTTTTCTATTAGTTTGCTTTTTTTTTTCTCTCTATACAGGAACGTACGAAAAAGAGAGATGAATAAAGAAAATAAAGGTCTAATCTAAAGTGTGTATGTGTATATATACAATATGTGTGTATAATATATATATATAATATAATATATATAGATATGTGAAATGTAATTCTGATCTAATTGGGATATAGCTGATATCGTAGTTCCTCGTGACATTACATTTTCAACGATCAAAGGTACCTAAATCCTATATAGGTCGAGGAGTTTGAAATCCTACGAGAATCTAGAAAACTAAAGTGGTTATCGAAAACGAGATTGAAATTTTTGTATGACGAGTTTGCTCATCGTGAAACGAAGGCGCACACATGATGCCGATGATGATCCTTGAGAAAAAGTACTTTAGTAAAAAGTAGTCGATGAATTATTGCGTGAGTTATCAATTTTTTTCGTATTCCTTTTCTTCTTTTCTTATGCTTCGTGAAATCAAATTTTTCCGGGTTTTCTTTTCTTTTTTTTTTTTTTTTTTTTATAATTATTCATGGACATTCAGAACAAACACGGGACACGGGACTAAATTTTGTTTAGTATTACTACAATTTAAAATGAACGTCTAATGAAACAAA